ATATTTTTCAATATCCAATTTTATTTCTGTTATTATGGGATAGTGGTCGCTTCCTGTTGTTGTACCTTTAACTATCTTCCATGAACTTATTCCTGCTATTGAATTTGATATTATTGTGAGGTCAATTGCCGATTCCATACCTGTTCTCATATCAACTCTTGTACCTTTACCATCGTTTAAACAGACAAGATTTTTATTTTCCATTAATTCTTCAATAATTGTTCCATTACCATCATTCTTAGTGCCCCACGAGTTGTGTGCATTAAAATCACCACACCAAAAGATGTTTCCATTTAAATAACTATTAAGTTCTTCCATTGATTCATGTGAAAGTCTTTTGCAAGGATTGTAAAAATTTATTACTTTGATGCTTTCCTTTCTGTTCCAAACTTCAACAACTAAATATTCTAAATGAGTTCCTTTTGCTAATAATCTAAAGTGTGTAGTATGAACCTATGCTGATATATTCATAAATTAAACGGATTCTTTCATTTTTCTGGACTGTATATAATGACGTGCATCTGATTTTAGAAATGTAACGTGAGACGTTAATTATCTTTGACTCACCAACGACAGTGGGTCATTTATTAACAGAATCAAAGTTTAACACATCACACATTTACATTAATTGGCAAAATATGGAAAATAACAACATGGCTAATTTTAGCAAGCTGTACAATTTTGATTAACCACACGGCGGTGGTTGAAAACTTTACACAGACATTTCTAAAATATCTGGAGATGTCTCCCTGGTAAGAAGTTCCATTTAACGCACCCTTCCAGCGTCTCCGTAGGAACAGCTGTGAATCGTCCGAAGTAGTGACGTTACTTGTTCGACACAAGTTCACCTCACGAGTGGACTTCACATGAGTGGAGTCCGTCAGAGTTCCACCCAGAGGTGGAAGATGTTATAATCCCATAAGACTCGGAAGAGCTCTGTGGTCATGTCAGGATTTTCCTGTTTCCCAGCCCTGGAGTTGCAACGACTGAAGCCGGAGCCTGAAGCGACTCTTCTCCTCGACACTGGTTTGAACTAGGAAGTACCGACATTTTAAAGGGCTCTATTTCCGGTTCATTTGGGAGTTTCTGATTGGTCGATGGACCAAAACAGAGGTGTGTTTTGTGATGTAAGGTGTTATGAAAAGTCAAGGAAAAAGATTAAGATTGTTTAAGAACAGACAAAAGATATCATGAGGAACTTCAGACTTCGTGGAGTCAATTCTCTAGTATCTTGCTGTAAAAGTTAAACATGACATTTCTTTTTCAGTAAACTTGCAGTTGACCGAAACTTGAACTTTGACCAACTTACACACTTGCTCACTTCAAACAGACGATCAAGAAATTGAATCATTACTCTGTAACATATTCCAACTTGATTTCACTTTGAATGAGGATTAAGAATCATTATTACTGTTTCACAGTTAATAAAAATGAGTAGTTCACTTCAACATTTAAACATTGTTTGAACTAACACAATTTGATGATCAAACATTTGTAAAATAGTAATGATAATCGAGAGTAGTCTTCTTTCACTTGATTAATTTAAGAAAGAAAGTCTCAGGATGGGTCAACCTGTATTTCTGGATTCAAATCAATGAAATGACAGCTTCTGTCCCATAAGGTCCTTAAGGTCAAGGTTTTGACATCAGGCCTAGTTCACTACAAGTGCATTCCTGTTTTACAGATGTTACACATCCCTCTCCCTGGGTCTCACTTCTATCTCTGCGTACACCAGTATATCCTCTAATAACAAAGTCTAAAGTTGGTTTGAGCCAAGTTTCCTGAATACATATTATGTCTGTTTTTTTGTTAAGATTTTTAATGAATCCTTTAAATTCTTGTCCATTTGCGATTAAACTTCGAGCGTTCCACTGTAGAATAATCAGAGTGTCCCCTCTCCTGATGTCCCTGACTTCCCGTTTGCCCCCAGTTCTTTGTTAATATGTTCCCATGAAATGTCTTTTATACCAAAACATTTCTCTGCTCCTTTAAACTATTATTTTAATTTTCTCTGTTTTGTAATTTACCTGGTCTGCACAGTTAATCACATACACAATGAACAACATGATCCTCTCCACTGTAATTGTAGGTTCAGGTTTCTCTTTTGGTAACTGGGATGTTGGGTTTTGTTGTACACTCCTCTCTCTTTCCAGTTTGTTCTTGAACTTTTTTCACCGCTTCAGCATAGCTGATATTATTGACCGTTTTCATTTGTTCCACTTTAATGGCCTTTTTCCTAATTTCACATCCTTTAAAAGTCACTCTATGCTGTCCCCCACAATTACAACATTTATCTTGGGCATTGTCACCACACTCCTCATATCTATGATCACCCCCACACTTTGGACACCTTTGCTGTCCCTTACACACAGCTGCAATGTGTCCATATCTTTGACACTTATAACACCTGAGTGGGGGAGGGACATAAGGCCTAACTGGAAAGCTCATGAACCCGATCTTAACCTTCTCTGGAAGTACATTATTTTGAAATTCAATCATTATCGACAGGCTTTCAGTTCTTTCTCCATTTATTGTTCTCAGCAATCTTTTGATCTGATTCACTTCTGCACCCTGAATGCTCTTTTTAAGCTTTTCTAGATCTTCATTTACTGGTATTCCTGTTATCACTCCCCTCGTTACTTTCTTCTCTCCTAAAATCCGTTTCTCTCTCACATTTTTTTCTACAAATACTTTCAATATTCAGTGCTTTATTTTTCTGTTCTTCAGTTTTACAAATGAGCAGTTTACTCCCATCTCTAAGTGTTTTTGCAAAAGAAATATCTTCAGTCTTCTTTTTGAGTTCTTTTGGTAATGCAATTGGACCCAGCTGTATGTTGTTGTCTTCTTCTTTAAATTTCAGAATAACTTTAATTTCCTCTTTAACAATCTTCTTGCGGACCACAGGTGTCCCTTCATCTGAACTATTTTATTCCAAAGTCCTTTTACCAACCTGTGTCCTTACCAAACAATCATTTTCTTGCCCAATTCTTCCTCTTCTTCCACTAACAACTTGACTCCAATCATTCAAATCCATATCCTCATCATCTTCCTCTACTTGAGCTGCCATTCTGGTCCAGTCACAAACCAGTTTATGCCAAACCGCTTGTTTCTTTTCGTCCGACACTCTTTCTTCAATGAAAAATCAGCTACTTTCTTGAAAACGTTCTCACCCACTTCGCGATCCCGTCCAACCTCCAGCGAACCGCCTCCAAGCTTTCTGTTAAAAACTCCTTTCTACCGTCAGACATGTAAGAGTGAAAAAAAAGATCTGTGTGTTTGTTTCTGTCGAGTTACCATATCTCATGAACCTTGTTGATTTTATTGATATACTTAGAAAACAATCACTGGGTGTAACATCTACTACTGATCAACTTTTGAAGTCAACTCAATTTAAGATGTCTGTCGCTGCCTATCAAACCCAGACACCAGAAAAATTGCTCTAACTTTATCATATTTACATGTAGTAAGCTAAACTTTGGTGTGGTAGTAGCTGATGCATTCTCTGAGCATTAACAAATCTCATGACATCTCTCAGCATCACGTGAGGTTGTAAATGATGTTATTTTTAAGGTTTAATTACGAACAATGTTTGGCGACATACATAGCTACAAGTCCAAAAAACAAATGTTAAAAACAAAAACAACTAGACTTCTATTCTGAAGCTAAAGACGTTTCGCTTCCCATCCGAATAGAAGACCAGTTGTTTTTTTTAACCTTTTTCTGCATTTATCTTGACCTGGATGATTGAGTTTAAAAAAACTTTTTTTTTCTGAACCATTTTGGTCGTGGTGTTCCTCAGGCTGTTTCTGTGAGTAGCAAGTTGGCCATCTGGCCTAAAACATTTAATTGTTGTGCATAATAATTGATAGTTTTGGACGGATGGTCCTTTTTGCACGTCTAAAGCCAGTTTCTGTGAATTCCACAGAGCGCTGGCTTGAAACACATCAGTGAGGTGCTATTTATAAGTCAGATCTTGGTGGCAGGCCTCAGACTGATGAAGTCTTTTGGATGAAAGACAAAACGTTTCTCTCAAAAAGAAACTGTCCAGATGACATGATTTAACCTTTTTTGTGACTTATTTACCTGGATGATTGAGCTTACAAACCTTTTTTTACTTAATAGAGGTTTCTCCTGATTCCAGGTCCAATATGTTATTTTTAGTCCTCAACCTCAGATAAACTAAAGTGTGCTGTGAATATCCTTTGATCTAAAAACATATTATGGTTATTCATTTACACATTTTTAAAGGTGAAGCTCTGGTTGTAATTTAAGACAGGTTTGCACACCTGCTTTATGATGTTTGCTTTTTGTGAGTATGTTATAAAAGAATGTGTACTCAGCTGAATGATTAACAGAGATAAACAGGATGTTTTGGTTCACTGTTGTTGTTTGTTTTTCCACTCAGACTTCTACACACCTGTAAGGACAATAAGCCCCATGACAGACAAGAGAAGCACTGACATTAGTTCATGTCCATAAAAGACATGACCACCATCTAAATAAAACCACAAACAGGCTTTCACTAATAGGGGCAGCTGTGGTTGAGTGGTTAGAGCAGCCGTCCTCCAATGCGAGAGTTGGGGGTTCAAATCCACCAGCAGTCACATGCCGAAGTGTCCATGGGCAAGACACTGAACCCCCTCATTGTCTCTGATGTGTGTCCCATCAGTGTATGAATGTGATAAAGCTCTGATTAGTCTCTTTAGAATGATTTGTTCAATTATCTTTGTAGAGATCTAGTAGAGTGCTGTATGAATGGGTAAATGAGGCACAGATTGTAGTGTAAAGTGCTTTGAGTGTCTTGATTAGATAGAAAGGTGCTATATAAGTACAGTCCATAATAGTCTCTGCTTTTGCATTGTTCTAATTGTAGATCATTTTACCATTTAAAAAGTGCCTCTTGTTGTTCCTTTCAGTTATTAAGCATCTTTTTGAGCATTAATAATCCGATGGGGGTCATCTTTCCTTATTTATAAAGCTGTGTGTATGTGACGTTACAGTGAAGTCCAGAGGGAGCTGGAGGAGAGAACTCTTGAGGCGTTGGACATGGACATTGCACTGAAAGAACGACAGGGGGAGCTCCAGCAGAGAGCCAAGCTGGTATAAAACCTCCTCCTTGCTTTGTATTGTTCTTGAACCCCTTTGGTGCCATATCCTCTCACTGATCTCTCCTTGTGCTTTGTGCGTTCCTCAGCTCAGCCAGCTGGACGTGGCCATCAGAGATCACAAGCAGGAGATGGAGAAGAAGGTGGAGGCCCTCCAGCAGAAAATGGAGGCCAAAGAGTCAGAGCTGAGAGACGCACAGAGGGAGAGCATGAACAGAAACACAAAGGTCAGGACCAAGAGGAAATGTTCTGTCTTGGCATATCACATAAAAAACATACAGATGCAGATTAATTTGTTGGTACCCTTTAACAATAACCAGAAAAACACAACTGATGTGACCGGGGTGGCTGTGTCTGAGTGGTTAGAGCAGTCGTCCTCCAATGCAAGAGTTGGGGGTTCGAATCCACCAGCAGTCACATGCTGAGGTGTACCTGGGCAAGACACTGAACCCCTCATAGCCTCTGATGTGTGTCCCATCAGTGTATGAATGTGATAAAACACTCAGTCCCTTTAGAATGATTTGTTCAATTAGCTTTGTATAGATCTAGTAGAGTGCTGTGTGAATGGGTAAATGAGACACAGATTGTAGTGTAAAGAGCTTTGAGTATCTCGATAAGATAAAGACGCTATATAAGTACAGTCCATAGTAAAAAGTAGAGCCCTCCTAGGTTGTTTTCAATGGAGCCAATTCAAAATATGACAGATGGTGTGATCAGAAAATGACTTTCCTTGATCTTGGCGTTCATCTTTAATAGTTTTAGATACTTTCCTCTGCTCGTTTTCGACCATCTGCACTAAAATGAGTCTGCGAGGCTCGATGGGATTAACCTGTCTAAATAAAGGTTGAATAAATGAAAAATTCATCTGATCAGAATGGGGTTGCATTTCCTTTTGCGTCCACGTCCTGGGAGGTTGGCCACAGTCTCATAACATTTACAGCTGAAGCTGATCCTTATTAAGGTCAAACTGTTTCAGACAAGGCAAAGATGAGCAGTCTCTTTAAAGGCACCAATAAAATGTCTCTGCAGCTGTATGTGAACTAGAGCTGGTGGTCAGTTTGTTGTATGAAAGGAAAACTGAGTGATCTACAAAAGGGTGTCCCTGAAGTTTCTTTTTCAGGGTGCCCTCATAATCTGGGTGGTGAGAAGGGAAGTGCAGTTTTTGTTTTTTAAATACCAGTATCTGTGTTCCTGTTAGGAGTCACAGGACCTCAAACAGCAGCTGTGTGAGACCCAGCAGAAACTTCAGAATATTCTAGAAAAGCTTGAAGAATCTCATCGTCGCTGTGAGGCTCTGACTGAAGCGCTGGATGCTGCCAAGCTGCAGAGCGGAGAGACGGTGAAGACAAAGTGCTAAGTGTTATTCTGCCGTTTGGCACATTTGACAAACACTTTACTGCTAAACTTTATTGGATTTGATCAAATGTAACGGCAGCATAAGAAAGGCCCTTGGCATCAATTAGAACAGTTAATTTCTTCTGCAGCAGTCCCACCATAAATTGACTAAGCTTCATGTGTGGGTCTGTGTAGGAGGCCCAGCTGTTCAGTGTAGAGGAGGAGCTGACTCTGAAGGAGGCGCAGTGGCAACAGGAGGAGGCCCGGCTGCAGAGCATGGTCACTGCTTTGGAGCAGGAGCTGGAGCTGGAGAAGGAGCAGCACAGCAAGGAGGTACAGTAGCTATTGACATGGTCCACAAGGTCCACACTTCAGTTTTGATTTCAGGGTCACTTTTTTTTATATGTTTCTACTTTATTTTGTACATTTTGTAAACACTCCAGAAATACAAGATGTCTATAGTCCTCTATTTCCAATTGTTAATGTGCCAGATATTCTAAAGGACGTTATACAGTCAAATAAAAATTGAACAAATTTAAGGCGTAGCCTTGATGTAATGTAGCTCACCCTCCAGTTTCATGCCAAAGTTTTAAACTGAAATCATCTTCTGATGAGAGGAGATGGAGGTGTAGCTGTTTTGGTCAAAGCTTGTCATCAATTATGCCCAATCTAAAGTGAACTTTTACATGTAGCTCTCAAAGTATGTGTCGTAAATGACTTTCAGCTGTTACCACCAAATTGGAGTTCAAGATCTATAAAACTGACTGGATTAAATCCTTTTTGTGTTTGTTAATGTCCATTAGTTGTTATGGATATCTCACATTGGGTTGACTCCATAAGTTAGTTGGTTGCAGATGCATAGCCAATGATTAATTTCTGAAACCTTCATTAAAATCAGTCAACATGTTCATGAGATATTTTGCTAAAACAACAAATACAGGCAAAAACTTTATTTGGTCCAGGGCCAATTTGGATTTTTCCACTTTTTGGTACCACTTCTGGGAACCGAGTAATTTAGTTGTTTTTTTTTCATCTACCTACATGTCTATGGATCACATCAAGCCATGATAACTCTGCCTAATGAGTAGCTTTCTAGTGGTTATAACTCTATAAACACACCCACCCCCATGTTTCAAGTATGAACACAGACTTTGCTGTAGTAGTTTTACTATCATATCTTGGGAACATTAGCGAGTCACATGTGCTTTAAAACTGTATATATTGATCAAATACCTTATTTATTTATTTATTTATTTATCAAACCTTATTTACAAGCAGACTCGTGTAATGAACAATATACTTGCATCCAAGTTTTAATAAAAGAAGTGTGTTTTTACTTTGACTTACTGTTCATAGATCCACCCTCCCACATTTTAACACTAAGGTATTATAACCATGTCATTAGAGTATGAGCAAGGGTTACAGTCTATATTTACACTGTATTAGATCACTTAGCAGATCTCTCCCTCTCCAGCACTGCCTTCTGCATCACCGTCTTTCATGTCCAAGAGTACCACATTCTCAAGCTCATTTATTTGACTGCTGCATCTTATATGTCTGTGCATTTTGGACGACCTTGCACATGATCGGGATAACTGGTCTATTATTTCATTCAATCGATCACCAAATTCCCATTATCAACTAGGCCTGTCGCGATAAACAATAAATCTATTAATCGCATGATAAATGAAAATTATCAACCTCATTTTCATTTATTAGCGTTATCGTTTCTTCATGTCTCTTTTTCTACTGAAGACACTGGATGACAAAAGTCTCAACTCCAGTGTTGTTCACTGACCCCTCTCCTCTGTGATATCAATGCCAGCAGTCTCAGTTGTGGGTGGTCCAGGTCTCTGGCCAGCATTATAAGCTTTATTAAGCCTTGCTGGGTTAGGAGAGATGTTTCTCTTGACTTTGCCAGTGTAGGTACAGTGGCCTGTGGTAAATGTCCTTCATCTTTTGGCTGGACATCAAATCCATTTACTCTGTGAGAAGGGCCTCTGCCACTCAGTGTTTCTTCCAGTCTACCAGTGTTATCCCATGATTCACATGTTGTAAACATGTGAGGATGAGCATTTGGAAGAACCATACTTTCATCTGCTGGCTCAGGCTTCTGAACACAAAATGCTGTGTCAGTCTCTTTCAGTTGTGAGTAAAACACACTGTGACCAAGCCTGTTCAGGGTCTCTATCTATTCCTTGTTTCCAGTCAAAGGGTTTATGGCAAATGGAACATGCTTTGGCATCTTCCAGCAGTGACAGCAAATACTAGATCACTACCAAATGAAGATAGCAAACGGACTTTTTGTGAAGGACACAATTAGTTGTACCAGTCAGTAGGGTCTGCAGGAAAGTAGTAACCGGTTCTGGAAGTATACCTTTGCTTGTATCAGGTGGCCACGTTTGGGTGGAATCTTCTTAAGCTGTGTCATAGCTCCAGGTCTCCTTTTCTTTTAACACTGTTGTCTGTGGAAGCTCTTACAGCACTGAGGTCCTGCACTACCTGCTGGAACTGTGTGACAAGTAATTCAAGTGATAAGCTGTCAGGATACATAAGAACTTTGACTTTCTCATTGGATATGAATTGGATAGATCCTGTAAATTTACTCTCTAACTTCCTGCAGACATTTTTAGTTGATTAACCCGTGCAAAACCAGCAGATACAATGGAGTCCTCAAGCTGTGATGTGAGGTCCCTCAAAGTTAAAACGTGGATGTGGCAAAATGTCATTTCTTATGTACACATAGAGCTGATGAAATGCTTCTTCCTCTGCCTTCTCGTATTCTGGTGACTCATCAGTACTTCTATCAGCAGCCTCTTGTTTGTCCTTCTCTTGTGTATGATTTGTAACATGATTTGTGCTAATGTCCTTCTGCTGCAACAATATCGTGACTTAAAACTGCACGAATCTTCATCAAGTTTGCTTTTCTTCTGTCAGCCTGGCATCAACTTTCAGCTCAACACACTGAGTTACACGTTCCCTTGTTCGTGTTCCACTATTATATTTACTTGAATGGTTGCAGAGAATGCATATTTTTTCATATACTCTTGAAGTACTGTACTTGTAACTTCACTTGGTGATTTCCTCACACTTGTATCTTTATCCTTGACATTTCCATCTCACTTGCTATGTTTGTGATGGCCTCAAGAAGTGCCGGTAAGTATGTTTACTAAGTAAACTTCACATAGCATGAAAAAATAACTTGGAGATAAAACATCCTGATGCATGCTCAATAATCCAGGTTGAAAAATCTAAAAAAGTTAAATCTGGTCCTCTGGGTCCACTGAGCTGAATACAGCACCTCAGACTGAGGAAGTTTTTCGGATGAAAGACGAAACATTTCTACTTTTTTTTTTTTGTTTTGCTTTGCTTTGTTTTTTGAATGTCCAGAGGACCAGATTTAACTTTTTTAGATTACAGATGAAACCTCTTCCAGAATCTGCTAAACATATTTAGCATTTGTACAATGTAATTACTAGTATATGTAAAACAAGTACCGGTACAGGGCAAATGCTCAGTACAATATATATGTAAACAAAGACTAAACACAAGGTGGGGGGGGGGGGGGGTCCTCTCACAGAAAATTTTGAATAACAGAGATGTCTAAAAAAAAGTTCAGCCTGGTCCTCTGGACATTCAAAAAGAAAAAAACAAAGCAAAAAAATGTAGATACGTTTCGTCTTTCATCTGAGAGACTTCCTCAGTCTGAGGTGCTGTATTCAGCTCAGTCTCTTAAATAGCACCTTCTCAGAGTGGATCAACCAGTTTGCTGCTGACAACCACCAACAGGGATGTGCTGTTGGCTCCTGATGCCCCTGTTTAGCAGTGGTTAATATGAGCCGGATCCTGCTGGAACAAGATCCGGGAACTCTCTCATTTTGACCCGTTCTGTTCCGGCAACTCTTTGTTCGGATCCGTCAACTCCACCCCTAAAAGTCCAAAGTCATCAAGCATTTTTATTTTGATTATTTATTAAAAAATACATTGAGAGGAGACGATGCCCTCAGCCCGGTGGACCCAGTCTGTGGAGTGGATGTTCCAGCCGCAGCACGCACGACGCACCAGCTACACGCTCCTTCGAGGAGCAGGAGAGTAGCCTTTAGGCGTGGGGTGGGGGGGTGAGGACGGAGGGACAGATGGTCTTATGCACGGAGATTCTGCGCAGAGTCCTTCTCTCCTCCTCTTCTCCAAATATTGCCCTTCCTCAGCAGGGCCGCGCACTGAAAAACACCCCCTCTCTCCTCTCAGACCCCCGAAACAGAAACGATAATTTATTCAACAGAATAAATAAATGCCCTGTGGACAGTGCACTTTACGCACAGAAACGTCTGCAGACAGCTCTACACAGCGCGCGCACAACATCAGCAGATGTCTGAACTCCTGTTACATTTCAGACTTGATAAATAAAAAAAAGCTTACTGTAAAAATAAATTAAAAATACAAAGAGAGAAATGTTTGATGTTATTCACATTATACCTCATGTTTCAAAACATGAAATGGATGGATGGATGGATGGATGGATGGATCGTCCTTAGTTGGACAACAGAGAATTGAATCCTTCAGGTGCTTCAAACAGTGCCAGCAGACTGGAGCAAGAGCAGAGAAGAGTTCAGCTCAGAACTGTGAAGAGGGGGGTGAGGGAGGAAGGGAAACCATCCATCTTTAAACAGGGGTGGAGGCCTCCGGGTTCCCCTCTTACAATGCTGTTATTGCTAGTATCACTCAGCCCCCTGTGAATAGTAAACAGCCATCAGTGTGCTAATGATCCATCGTTAGGCTGATGGTCCTTCTTAATCATGTGAGCAGCTGGTTTTGGGTAGGGACTGAAAGAATGAGATCGTGGATACAGGCATTTGAAATTAGTTTCTTCTGCAGGGTAGCTGGATTCTCCCTTAGAGATAGGGTGAGAAGTTCAACAATTTTCAGTCAGGTCTTCTAGACAGTCTCTTTTTTTGCTGAAACCTTTCACCTTCCATCCGGAAGGCTTCATCAGTCTAGGAAACACACAACACAAAACTGATTCTTCACCCAAACAGCTTACTCCAAAGTGGAACAAACCAGTTTTATTTCGTATAGGCTTCACCCTTTAAGAGCTGTCGCTTAGTGGGTTTATCCCATCATGCAAAGCATTGCACTGAAAAATTTAGTCCACGCCCACCTGTTGTGTGGGCCCCACCCAGTCCGTATAAATTACGTTAAGAGCGGGTAATCGGCTCCCATTTTTCTTCAGCAAGCTAATGGCACTGTCAGAAGAACGAAGAAGGGAAGTTGTCTAGCTTAACCAGCTCAACCTTTGTTGGGTCTGCCTGTGGCCCCGCCACACCAACCTCCTG